TGTCTGCCATAGAGGCTGGGGGAAGGTTGGAAAGGGGGGCAGTATACTTGGGATATTGGTGGTTGAAAATATGCACTGGTAGAGGGATGGACGTTCTATCATTGTATGAGTGAAACTCAAACATGAAAGCTCTGTAGCTGTATCTCATGGTGATTCAATAAAAAATAAACAAATAAAATTGTAAAAAATGTGTCTCCTCAGGTAAATCTTTCCAAACTAAGCAAAGAGTCTCACTTTGGCTCAGGGAGGGGTATCCCTGAAACAGTAGTTGACGGCTGACATATGTACCATGAGCCTTGACAATAGCATTTGAAAAAGCAGTGTTTGGGTCTAGTGCACTTTTGGTCTTCTCTGTTATAGAGCTGGAGACATTGAAGTCTTAGTTCCACCAGCTCCCACACTAGTACTGTCTGCTCATCTTTCTCTTCTGGATTCTTGAATGTATGTGGTGTCCCTCAACCCCTCCTTCTTTCCATGTGCTCCCTTTGAATAAAATTATCCTGTGAAATCTTTTCTCACTCTAATTTGTTAAAATGTCTCTTCATTCATCTGCCCTTCCAATTTTTAGATTTTCATTTCCTTCAGCTATTTGCATATTTTCATTCAGACTGTTCTTATCAATTTCAACCTATTTGAAACATAAGTTTCTTTAGCAGCAACTCTTTCCTGATTTCATTTCAAAACTAATGGGACCAACAATTTGGAGGTCAATATGACAATATGCCTCTGGCTTCAACTCCTGCCTGGTCTTCATGTGAAATTAGTTATCAGTTCTGTGGAGCTGTGTTCAACAATTCTCTCACGCCCACCCCTGTCTCCACTCCTGTTGCTAATACCTACCTCAGGATCTAATTATCTTTTGCCTAAGCTAAAGCAATGGTTTTTAAATAAGTCTCTTCACTTTTATATGTTCTCTTTTTCAATTCCTTATGCTCAACTTATAATTATATTCCTAAGTATGGCTAAAAGCATTACACTTAAAAAAATAAAAACTAGGGTTTCTTTTCACTACATCAAAATTTTCTTAGATTGGCATTTAAAGATATGTACAATATGGTTTTCATTCTTCCTTCCATTTTAATCTGTAATTTAAAAAATCTTTTTGATCTTCATAATAAAAATTCTTTTTCTTCTTAGTTATTGGACCTTGTATTTTCTGTTTTCTAATTTTTTCTCAAATAATTTTCTACTATGGTTACCAATTAGAAAAAATATATTTCAACTTGCTGCTTAAAATCTATTAAAAATAAAAAGATTATTTGTTTTGTTATTATGTCTTATCTCTTGGGTAAGATTCAGCTGTGATAAGGTTTTACTATTGGCGTTATCCTTAGGGACCACTCCTGTTGGTTCTCAGGGGACATAGGTGGTGATGGGGATCACACCTGATTTAGCTATACACAGGACAAGTGACTTATCCATTGTACTATTTCTGTGACCTAATCAAAATAATTCTTATTTTATTATGATCATCATCAAGTTATGGATTTTTTTTCAGTTTTCTGCAGTTTTCAGAAACTCAGAGTAATGGATTAGAATTTATAATGAAAAATAGCTCCTTAGCTCTATGGACAGTTCATTTATGACAAATCATTCAAGAGCATATTATGAACGGAGTAAATAGTCTTTCCAGTAAATGGTGCTGGAAATAAATGAATAGACAATGTAGAAGAGTGAAATTACACTACTATCTCATATAATGCATAAAAGTTAACAATATAAAGTGTTGCCTTAGATTTTAAGACCAGAATACATAAACTACATTGAAGAAAACATAGGCAAAATATATGATTAATCTTAAAGGTGTCTTCAATGATTCAATTCAAAGAGAAGGAATAAAGAGTAATACAAAAATAAGCAAATATTGTAGTATCAAAATATGCACAGTAAAAGTAATTATAATTAAAAATTTAAAAAGTCTACTGAATAGAAAATTTTCTTATCACCAAACATCTGAAAATGGGATAATATATAAGATATATGAAGAAATAAAAAATGCAACAACAAAGCACATCCAATCTCATTAAGAAATTTCAAGAGACCAAAGATATATACATCTCTGAAGATAATACTGAAACTGTCAATAAGTACAAGAAAAATGTTTATCATAATATTATCAGAAAAATTCAAATCAAGATGATAATGAAATATCAACTCATGTCAAATGACATTGGTTTTTATCAAAATGGGTGGGAAGAAATTATAGCAGAGATATGAATAAAAAGAAAATCTATTTCATTGTTCATGTATACAAACTGATTCAATTTCTATGAAAACTTCTAAAAAAAAAACTACTAGTGATTCACCAACTACTTTTTTTGTCTATCCCAAGGATATGAAAACAATAATTTGGAAAGATCTATGCACACTTGGGCTGGAGCAATAGCACAGCTGGTAGGCGTTTGCCTTGCACAAGGCCAACCCGGGTTTGATTCTTCTGCCTCTCTCTCAGAGCCCAGCAAGCTACCGAGAGTATCCCACCCACGCAGCAAAGCCCAGCAAGCTACCCATGACATATTCGATATGCCAAAAACAGTAAGAACAATTCTCACAATGGAGATGTTATGATGCTCACTCGAGCAAACTGATGAACAACGGGAGGACAGTGCTACAGTGCTACAGTGCTATGGACACTTAAGTTCCCTTCAGAGTTATATACATAGATGAGATCTGGAGGAAAAACTCCAAGTGCTCAATGACATTGACTAGATGAAGATATGAAGATATGGTCTATGAAGATATGGTCTATTCTATATGGAATAGAATGGTGTAATCACAATCACAATCACAAATCATCCTGTTAATCGTCGAATGCCTCGAGCAGGCCCCAGTAACATCTCCTTCATCCTAGCCCTGAGATTATATTCAAGGCTCTTTAGGAGAATGAGACCCATCATTGTTACTGGTATTTGGCATATTGGGTACGCCACGGGGAGTTTGCCAGACTCTGCCCTGTGGGCAGGCTACATTCGGTAGCCTGCCAGTTTGTCCAAAGTAGGAATGAGATAATAAGATGTCATAATAAGATGTCGCATGGCAAAATAAGTCACTAGAGGAAAGACATACCAGATGATCTTACTTTTATGTTGTATATAAAAAGAACCCAAGGGAATAGATAGTTTTCAATTAAATCAAACCCTTAGATGTTAACTACAGAACTGATCTGAGGTACAGAGCGTGGTGGTGGATGCAGCAAGGGAGAATGGACTAAAACAGTCTCATTGATTAACATAAAGGAATCATGACACTTGGTCATGTATGTGTTTGATAACACACTAAATATATATATATTTAAATTGTTTTAAATTAATGAACCAAATAAAACTAAAATAAATGCCATTTTGTCATAATCAAATCAACAGCATATTATCAATTAATCATTGAATTTTTCTAACCCAATTGTTCAAAGTAAACAAAATAAATATCACTATTGTTAAAATCTGATTTTCAACAGGAGATTAGGGAAAGGAAAACCTAAACAGTATTTTTTTAGAGAACTACATCGTGGTGCTCAAAAACAATAAGATCATATTTTCTTTACTCTTCATATCTATATCCCACTTACCTCAAAACTTCTGATACCCTACAAAAGACCTGTGATTCTGGTTAGTGAAAAAGAGCTTACACAGCAAACAAAGACATTTTTTTAAAAAGCATATAAAGTCAAAATTATTAAATGTGCACATGTGGAAATATCCTTGATTTGAATTACCACAGTGATTATCATATGCTCAATGTGAAAGGTATCCATAATTCTACTATTAAACAAACTGCCTTGCATTTTTTAAAAAAGTAGATTCTTAGGGGGGGGCTGGAGTGATAGCACAGTGGGTAGGGCATTTGCCTTGCATGCAGCCAACATGGCTGACCCGAGTTTGATTCCTCTGTTCCTCTCAGAGAGCCCGGCAAGCGACTGAGAGTATCTCGCCCGTACGGCAAAGCCTGGCAAGCTCCCCATGACGTGTTTGATATGTCAAACACAGTAACACAACAAGTCTCATGATGGAGACGTTACTGGGGAGGCTCAAGCAATTTGATGAACAACAGGAGGACAGTGACAGTGACAGTAACAGATTCTTAGATTTAAAAAAAATAAAGCTCTGTCATCTAGATTTTGGAGTTTATAAATCACATAACAAATTGTGTAGATAGCAGAGCTAGAAAAATACTATAGTGGGTAAAGCACTTGCCTTGTTTGCAGCTGACCTGGGTTTGATCCCCAATACCACATAGGGTCCTCAGAGACCCACCAGGTGTGATCCCTAATGGCTGAGTCAGGAGAAAGTCCTGAGCACTATTGGGTGTGGCAAAAATAAAAAATGTATATTAAGAAAGAAGCAAAAAATGTGTAGTTAGCCTTAGCAAAAGTTAAGTGAAAAAATAAAAAAAAAGTTCATCAGCGCATAAACCAAGTCCGATTTTTCAGAAAGCACTGAAATAAAATATTCTAGCTTTTCTTTCCCCTTATGGCTGTGTTTCCATGGTACCAAGCTCAGACTATCTTAATGAAAAGGAACTACAATTCTAGGAGATACTGACATATTTTGAAACATAACAATGTTACCCTGACTTAATAACACTATTTTACATTATTTCTTTACAAATTTGAATAAAATATATAAAATGAATGTAAATAGTCACAAAGTCATACACCAAAATAGAAGCCACAACTAAATTTATGTAAGAATTATCTGCAAACACTAGATCTTTGTAGCGATTTATAAAATTAAGCACATTGTACATATCATTTATTTCATAAACATGTTCATATTTGTATGCATTTTAACTAAAAGTGTCATTTACTTAGAATAGAGTTATAAAGGAAAAATTAAGCATAGAATAAATTTTATGTGCTCTTTTTATGTTTTTATATTATTAAAAATGTTCATCTTAAATTGAGTTTCTGTCTATATCGGGAAAAGAGTCAAATCATAGAAAGCAGATGTGCTACACAGATGGTATTACTTATTGGGAAATATGAAATGATTTCTCAATCTTACTTATTGCTGGAAGAAATCAGAGGGCAAGCACACTGCTGACAGTCATTTGGAAGTCCTTTCACAATTCCATAGTATCCAAGAGCACATCGTTCACAGAAGTCACCTGCAGTGTTATGTTGGCAATTCTGTAAAGGAAAAGAGAAACAATTGTACGTTTATAGTTAAGTAGAGGATAAAATTTATCATACAACTCCATATCTTTGAATGTGTGGTTCTTAAACACACTGTACACACTCAGTGACAGACAGCTCTTGATATATTTTTAGGTATTATAATCTTATCATGTTAAACTATGTATAATAGAAAATTTTCACATTTTAAGAAATTTTAGATATATAGTTCATTGGCATCAAATACATTCAAATTTTGTGGAACTGTCTCTATAGTCAATGTCTATGATGGTTTCATCTTTTTTTTAACTGAATCACCATGAGATACAGTTACAAAGCTTTCATGTTTGAGTTTCAGTCATACAATGATCAAACACCTATCCCTCCACCAGTGCACATTTTCTACCACCAACCTCATATCCATTCAACAATTCACCATAATCTTTTCCCTGAACATTTGGCAAATAGCATTCAACTTTATCTCTCTATAAATTTGAACTGTTTCAGAATTTTTTTCTTTTAAAGACAGAATGATAATTTAGTATATACATATACATTTCGTATGTCTAGTCTTTTATTAAGAGACACTGAGTTTTCACCTTTTGACTACTATGAATCATGCTGCTATGAACATAGCTATACCAATAAGATTATCCTAAGCATGTGCAGGGACTGGTTCCAAGCCTCTCTCCCTTGGGATACCAAAATCCTTAAGATGCTCAATATTCTTTCATAAACTTGTATAGTATTTGTTTGATGTATTGATATATTTTTACATATATGTGTAATTTTAGCCACCACTTGATTTACAAAACTGTTAATGGTAGGCTTTGATTCATAAAACATCCCATTATCACATTGTCCACTCAGTGTCATCTTCCTTCCACTTCTGTCCTAGTGCCCAACCCACCTTCACACAACACCCCCTTCCCAAGCTGTTTCCTTCTCCCACCACTCCATAAATTTCTGATTGCAAATCAGTCTTCAATTTGTTACCTTTGGGTATTTGTTATTCTTCTACTATGTTTCCTTATATCTCACATATGAGAGATCATTCTGGGTCTGTTTCTCTCCTGCCTAACTTTATTCAGCATGAGAGTCTCCAAATACATGTAGAAATTCCGTTATTTCATCTTTTCTTAAAACCAAGTAGTATTCTGTGTGTATATACCAGAGGTACTTTATAGACATCTGTTTTTAGACATAGGTGGTTTCCAGATTTTGGCTATTGTGACTAATGCTGCAATGCACGTAAGAGTGCAAATGCCTGGCCCACTAGCATTAAATTTGAGGTTTTTTTTTAATATCTTAAGAAAAACTCCCTGGGATTTCACGACACTAGATAAAGTTGCATCCTAACTAAAATAAGTTTTCTAAAGTGTTGTTAATTTTTTTCCCCCTCTACTTATTCACTTTCTCTTTACCTCTTAAAAGGGTTTCAGGAGTTTTGATTCTACACAGAAATCAAAGATGTGGCATGATTATTTTTTGGTGCCAAATCAAAATTTACTGATTTTTTGTTACTAAATCAAAATTTGCTGATGCTAATCAGCTTTCATGATATTAGTTTTCTGCAGTAACTGATATTTCTGTACATTATTCTTTGTATTTAATTATCTCTTTTTAAACACACAACACATTGTGTGAATTTTTATTCTCCCTTTATGCCTTCTTTTTAAGCTTCTTCATGACCCTTTCCTTTATCTGTGTTCTTGAGTCTAACTTAAGCTCTCATCTGTTTTTCCTTCATGCCTTAGTGATTTAATCAACCTCAATGATAAAATTCAGTTTTTGTTTATGTATCTGAAATTCTAATTTTAAAAATATTTACATCTAATGAGTTCTGGATTTAATTTCTAGTTGCCTCTTTGATAAATCACATTAAATAATATAAAAGAAAGTTGAATCAAAAATTTCAAATATTAAGCTCATATTTCTTTATGTTTGTGAATACTGTAATTATTTTGTACTCATTTAAGGTCACAATCATCTACTCAATTACTCAGGCTTAGCAATTCAGTGGTTGCTTTCATCCAGGCAACATATTCCATGATTTTTAAAAATCATGTTTCTTTATTTTCTTGTTGCTACTATTTTTAATCTCATAATGTCATAGTTTTACTGGTTTATTAGACCCATTATTAGGTTAAGAACCTGCTTCAAAAATTTCTCATTTAGCCATTTCCCCACATTGAAATCAAAGTATTCATCACATAAAATATTCCAAATCATGATATTTTCTACTTTCTATTGAAGGCTACAGTAATTTACCATTTTCACACAAAATAGCAAAACTCTCTAGAATAACAATGAAGATCTTTATAATCTGACCACTTATGATGCCTCCTGTTAAATTTTTAACCACCGCAATCCTTAAGACTAAGGACTAGGATATGGATTAACACTAAAGGTTGTTCTGAGAGTTGAAACTCTCCTCTACTTATTCTTGAAACTCTACATATGCAAACCTTTTGTTTTATAATGCCTTTACCTTCTTTTTTCTGGTAAGCACATAATCTAGGTGGATGGTTTTCATATCAACACTGTGACTGCAATGTGCTGTTTAGAAAAGTTGGCTGAATTGGTGTACATTTGGAGGAGTATAGAACAACTGGTCAGGTTCATAAAGATAAAACTTAAAAACTTAAATCTAATAAATTTACACCATAAGGCTTAAGAGGACAAAACAAATTATTGTATGTTATATTTTATTAATTAGCATAAGCCTCTTACTTAGCCATTAAGAGTAACCATTAAATTTTAGCAATAGTCATTCCATATTATCAGTAGCATAGTAAAATATAATTCCAAGATAAAATCATCATATACAGAGTCTAATCTCAAACAATTTAACATGGTGTCAAATGATGAGAAAGTACTAGCTAGGGCAAGTTTGTCATGTATTACAATTATAGGAATAAGTTGTCGCAAAATAATTAATAACAAAGAATAATGATAACCAATGAAATTTTGTAATAAAATTTAATATGCAATGAATTATTTTATGTAATCTAATGTAATAATAACTAAGGTAAAGGTAAAGGTAAAGGCCCTCCCGTTGATCGTCGATTTGCTCGAGCGGGCCCAGTAACGTCTCCATTGGAGACTTTGTTGTTACTGTGTCTGGCATATCCAATACTCTCGGTAGCTTGCCGGGCTCTCCGAGAGGGGCGGAGGAATCGAACTCGGGTCAGCCATGTTGGCCGCTTGTAAGGCGAACGCCCTACCCGCTGTGCTATCGCTCCAGCGATAACTAAATATACATGAATTAAATGATTGTTACAAAAAACAGAGATTTAAATGTTTACTTCCCTAATATCTATGTCTATATTTTTTTACAGAGCAAGCAAGTATGTTAACCATCTTTAGACAGTCAATATTCCAGAGGGTTGTTGACACAGCAAACTAGTAAAGTGCACCATATGTGTGGGTTAGATGCAAAAACTCAACCCATAAACCATAATGGTATTTTTGAAACATTTGTATGTGAGATTTTTATATCTAGTTTGAAAGAATGACCATAGTATTTATATGCCAAAAGCAATCTTTGAAAATGCAAATAATTTAGGTGCCTAATGGGAAGTCTGATGATATTTTCCAGTGAAAAGAGATAATATATTTTCAATAATAGAATATATAGTTGAATTTTCAATTATATATATTTCTTCTATCAAATAAAATAAATATAACATTAACATTTTAGTATCTTAGATTAGAGGTAGAAAGGTAGTATCTTAGATCAGAGGTAGTTAATTTTTCCTTACAGCAATGCCAATACAGTTAATATATTATCAAATGCAGAAATTCTTATAAGGCAATCCTTTTATCTTGTAAAAATTTTAGTAAGCTATGATATTTCCTCTTATGGTGAATGGAAATTTGTTTTACTTTAATTTTCAGTCAGTGACTGACCAAATTCTTCCTCCTGGAGCTATTCAAATTAAGTCTAATTCCTATTTCAGAAGGAAAAGCCTCAAATAGCTAAAGAATATTATTACATCTTAAATCTTTTTAAAGCTAAAATACTTTCTAAACTAAACATTGAATAATCCTGATTACTTATAATTTCTCTTTAAATACAATTTATGTTTGTGCATGTAATTTGTAAATATATTGAATATACATTCTTTCTTGATCTGAATCCTATACAATCACATGTGTCTGTAGTGAAATAAGAACTATTCTTCACAGGAACTGCTATTTTGTGATATTTCCTCTGTTCTTTTCCTTAAAAAATGACAATGTATTTTTGTCATTTTTTTCACCATGAGAGCAGTGGACAAATAGTTCTCATCCTTATAATTCTAACAACCAAAACAGTGCTTTTATATTTGAAATACTAATTGACAAAGGCATTATGAATGAATAAACAAGTAAGTCAGGCTAAAGTTAAAATATTTTTAACCAACTTTACCTTCTACTTTTCAGATTTTTGAAATTCTTGACCACAACTAATGCATTCAGTAACACTTTCAGCTTTATTTCATCTAAATATTTCATAGATCTCTTTCATATCACCAATAAAAAAAATCTAATTTAACAGGGTCAAACACAAACATATATCTTACCAATATGGATAACTGTAAAGCATATTCAAGGTCACAACACTCAGCAACTTCTATTGAATATCAAATAAATTAAATAATTATATTATGCCTATTTTTGGCATAGTTTATGAGGATATTATAAAATATTCTGTCAAATGAATATTTAGGAAAAGCAAAGTTTGAAACAACAACTGAATCTTACTAATTTATGACTTACACTGATTAATTTCTCTCAGTATCAGGATAATGATTGAAGGGGAAGAATAATCCCTTTTATACCACAGTCAATTATTAAGAAATAAATGAAAAAAACTTGTCCACAATGACCCTGCCTAATTATGGTACATATTTAGCTTTGAAACATAATAGTTGTTGGTTTGTACTTTTGGGGGTCTGCTTTTGAAATTATGACATTCTGATAAGTTTTATATTTACTGAAATTTAGGAAGTGGGGTCTCAGATATTATC